ATCTCATCCGAGGTCAAGGGCGGCGTGGTCTGCTGATCTGGACGTGAGACGGAAGTCTCGTCCGTAGATGGTGCAGATGACGCGTGCTGTTGACCGGGACGTGAGAACGAGGTCTCTGATGCATCTAGCGTGGGATCCGAGGTAGACGTAGAGATCCCGCTAGAAGGTTTGGTAGGTCTAGCATTGAGTCTCAAGTTATCGGGTAGGGCACTGTCATCGACGTGTGCTGGTTTGAGACGATCAATGCTGACGATCTCGACGCGGCCGTGTCGATCAACTTTTCGTGACGAGAGATCACGTGAAAAGGTCCTTCGTAAGGCTGTTGCAGGGGTTTGCGTACCGAATCTACTCGTATGAAAACATGTGAACAGATAGATAACTCTCGAGGGAAAGCGACCTGTCGATGTTGTATTCGAGTTGACACCGGAGACAGCGTTCGCATAAATGCAGACAGTCGATGGACGTAGTCTGATTTACCGAAATCATTACTGCTCCGTGGTGTGAAGAATTCCCCAGGCAGACGCAATGTCGTGCCGTATATAAGTTCAACGGTGGAACATTGGATATCTGCCTTCAAACTCGTTCTGATGCCTAAGAGAACGAGCGGTAAGTATTCGTACCAATTATCGTTTTCGTGTGGTCGAAGAGCACTTTTAAGTTGGCGATGAAACCTTTCGACTAAACTATTCGATGCTGGATGGTAGGCGGTAGTGCGTATGCGTTCCGTACCAAGCAGCCGGGTCAGTGAGGAGAATAATGCGGACTCAAATTGTTGTCCTCGGTCAGTCGTGACAGTCGAGGGACAACCGTACAATGCTATCCATCGTTCTACGAAGCGGTGAGCAACTGTCTCCGCCGTGATAGACGTGATGGGAATAGCTTCGGGCCATCTTGTAAAACGGTCGATGCACGTGAGTATGTGATCATACCCATGCGATGGTGGCAATGGTCCTACAATGTCTATATGAACGTGATCAAAGCGAGCATCAGGCGTAGCGAACGTGCCAATGGGGGCAGCTACGTGCCTGTGCACTTTTGATCGTTGACACTGTCAGCATTGCTTTACCCACATACGAACATCTTTATTCATGGACGGCCAGACGTATCGTGCAGCGATGAGGCGTAATGTGGCTGCGATACCTGGATGAGACAATCCATGAAGGGCATCGAAGACGAGACGGCGATAGGCAGAGGGTACGATGGGTCGAGGAAGACTGGTAGAAATATCACATAAGATAGTACCTGAGCTAGTAGCTAGGGGTACTTCCTGACACTGAAGGGACGAAGACTGTGGTGCTTCTGTACAGACAGGATCGTTTGCTTGCGCGGCGGCCATAGCAGGAAGATTGAGCACCGGTAAAGTAACTGCATTCGTCTGGATACGTGAAAGAGCATCGGCAACATAGTTCGACTCGCCTTTAATGTGACGAAGGTCTGTCGTGAACTGTGAGATATAGTCCAAATGTCTGCACTCTCGTGGTGAGTAGCGGTCAGACTTGGTATGCAGAGCATACGTTAAGGGCTTATGGTCGGTGAATAAAATGAATTGACGTCCTTCTACTGCGTGGAGGAAATGTTTGATGGCGCAGTAGGCTGCAAGCAGCTCGCGACCAAAAGCGCTATATCTCGTCTCCGTGGGAGTAAGTCGTCGTGAGAAAAATTCGAGCGGCTGCCAACTACCGGAGATATTCTGTTGCATAACGGCTCCTATAGCAAAATCTGATGCATCAACCGCTATACTAAGCGTGGCTGATGGGTCAGGATGAGCGAGGAGTGTAACTTCAGCGAGAGCCGTTTTGATCTCTGAGAATGCAGTACGTGCGGTATCGTTCAATTCTAATTTGCGTGGATAACCGCGTAGTAAATCGGTTAATGGTCGTAACCGTTCTGCCGCGTGAGGGATAAAACGTCGGTAGAAGTTAACCAAACCGAGAAAAGCCTTCAGTTCCTTGATTGAGGACGGCACGTTGTACTCCTTCATTGCTCGAATTTTGTCCTCGCAAGGCAGAATACCCTCTCGTCTGATGATGTGACCCAGAAATATTATTTCTGATTTACCCAATTCACATTTCTCTGGGTTGACCAATATTCCATTATCCGAAAGACGTTGGAATAATAGCGTAAGGTGTTGATAATGTTCATCTACGTTTGATGATGCGATCAGCAGGTCATCAATATAGACGTGAACAAAATCCAAGTCTCGTACTATGCTATCGATAAACCTTTGGAAAGTTTGAGCAGCATTCCGTAATCCAAACGGCATTCGTAGGAACTCAAACAGACCGAACGGAATCGTGATAGCAGTTTTTTCGATGTCTTCAAGAGCGACTGGGATCTGGTGATATGCTCGTACCAGATCGATTTTAGAAAAGATAGTCGTGCCCTTGAGCGATGCCGTGATGTCGTGTATTTGCGGGATGGGGTAGCTATCAAAGCGCGTAACTACGTTTAATGCTTGGTAGTCGCCGCATGGTCTCCAACTAACCCCATCCTTTTTGCGCACCATGTGTAAAGGAGAGGCCCAAGGACTGTGAGAAGGAGGAATAATACCAGTAGATAGTAAATTGTCAAACTCACGTTTAGCGAAAGCTAATTTGTCCGGTGCTAGTCGGTGTGGTCTTGCCGTGACTGGTGGTCCGCGGGTGACTATGTGGTGTACCACACGATTGGTCACCGATGAAATCTCCTCGAGTGGTTTAGTTATTCTGGGGAATTTCTCAAATAAGGCGTGGAATTTATCGTCATGCGAATAAAAAGTGCCGAGGATTCGGTACGCGTTTGTGTGAGCTTTAAAGCCCAAGAATTTACTGTTCGACGAAGTATCGATTAGCTGCAGCCTACGTGAATCGACTAGCAATTCATAGTGCTGTAGGAAATCAATACCTAGTATGGCTGTGGGAACATCAGCAATGATGAACGTCCACAGATACCGTCGTCGGTTGCCCAGGTTGACAGCGAGTTGTCGTGTACCGTAGGTAGGAATGGCTGAGCCATTTGCAGCGCGTAGTCGAAGCATTGTAGCTTGTGACTTGATGCTACCTCGTGGTACGACAGAAACTTGGGCACCTGTATCCACTAGGTACCTAGCGTTTGTGCGATAATCGTGCACGTAAAATAAACGGCCAACCTGGGGGGCAGGGCCGGCGAGTACGGCCGCTTTTACTCGCCGGCTTTGGAGTTTCCCGCCTTGTATGAGCACGAGGCTCGACAACGGCGGGCACCAGATCCGAAGGATCGATGAAACCAGCACCAACCTTCACTCGCTTCCGAAGCCGCCTTTTGGCGTGGCTTGGAAGATGCCCTCGTTGGGCGGGTGTTGACGGCTTTTCGAGAGCGTGAGCGGACTCGAGGGACGTAGGGTTGGGGTACGTTACAACGGTCTTGAAAACTAAGACGTGTGGGAATACACCCTTCCCTGTCACCTTGAGCCGAGGAGTGGCTGCCGTCGATATCGACTTTCGGACGCGACGTTGAGGCAACTACGTAGTTGTCTCGGTTGCCAGTCCTAGCTAGAATTTTGTCTGCTGTGAGGGCTACCTGTTTCAGTGGTGCGTCCTCGAGCAGGGCCGTAACCGTAGGTTGGATAAATGCTGGTAGAGATTCGAGCCACAGTTCTTTAACAATTTCAGAATCGGCTGCCGTGGGTCCTGCAAGTGATTGCAGGCGCGTGAGGTGGTGGCTCGGTTTAGCATCACCCAGGGGGTGACGTGCTAATAACGTCCTCAATCGTTCCTCCCTCGATGGGAGGAAATGTCTGAGGATCGCCTCCTTGAGACGATCGTAAACATTAGGCACATTGGAATTGAGGACAACCTCACGGACAGCTACCAAATGGTCTCCCGGTAAACATTCGAGAGCGTAAGTGTACTTCTGCCGTTGGCTTGTAATATGACGGGTCTCAAATTGAGACTCTATAGCAGCAAACCAAACTTCGGGATCGTGAGGAATAAAAGATACAGGTCGAAAGTGTATAACCTGTACGTCAGAGTCTATTACGTTAATACTATTCTTATCGTTATCCGTCATGTCAAATATATTATATATTAAAAATTAATATGAAAATATGTGACAGACGTGGATAGATAAAACAATAGACTCACCGAATTGCCTTCTTTGAAAGATTTGACCGAGGTTGAGGCGTGTTCCAATATTTGGCTCACCAAATGTAGCGTGTTGTCGAGTTGAGCTTGACTATGAACACCGCTACCAGACTACGTGCCAATAGACCAATAAGATTCCGGTAGGCCAAAAATCAGAAGACAGATGATGGCTGTAGTCGAGATGTATTTGTTGGCGATCTCGTACCAAAGGAGTACAAGTGTGGTTACTGAGCGTAACCGGATTCGTACAAGTTCAAAGTCAACGGGAGAGCAAGTAAGTGTAGTGGCTGTCATTAGCACAGTTAAACAAACGAGCACAATAAAACAAGCACTGATACAATTGGTTATAATAATAATTGTTTTCATCGAACCAATCGCGTTCTGTTGACAAAAGTAGGTCACTATACACCTATTATATTCCATGTATTTTTAATTAATTTTACCCGATCACTAATTCCGAATTATATCACCCATCGTTCCTATTACTTTACATAATTCGAATTCGCCATTAGTGTGGCCATGATTAACTTTGCCACCCGGCTTGACGAAAATTGATATAAACTAAACAAATAAATCAAAAAAGAAAAGCAACCAGGATCTGGAACTGAATTATACATAGGAGGGTTGCATTTTTTTCAGATTCTTAATGATCTATAGTAATTTAGGGGTGGTGGATTTGCGGTAATTAGAACTATCAGATTTATTTTGGTTAATGAATACATTTGTTTGTTCGCAAACTCCCCCAAATGCCTGACACGGCACCGAAACAATAAGAAGCAAACTCAAAGGAATGAATCGGTTTATATTTCATGACAAACATAATGATTATTGCATTTAAATCTAGAGGTCCCAAAAGTCTGAAACATAATGTCTAATTCCTATAAAATAGTTCGAAAAGTTGAATGATATGTCCGCTATTCCCATCAGATGAGTTTTCTGGATCAAAAATTGTTTTATTAGTGTATTTGCACATTTTCAACTTGCAAAGCGCACTAATCAAAAGTTTACTTTGTAATCACTGTCAGTGGTCATGGATACTAAAAAAATACAGGCTGATACAAACACATTTTTTGGCCGATTTTCGCAGGTTCAAAGCTTTCTGGTTTTTTTCATCAAAGTCTGATGATAGATTGTCGAAGAGGCATTCGGGACTACTGAACGAACAAATTACAGTCCTGATCTAGCTGAGTTAATGAAAGAAGGTGAAAAACGGAGAAACTGGGCGGTGAGCATTTTGGCACAACTAGAAAATGTGATTCAACCGAATCCAGGTATTGTTTTTAGAGATATTAGGATTCCATTACTGCTTGTAAAAACTCAGGAAGGACATATGTTTGTGGTCAAACAATATGTAAAACTTCGGAGAAAACTCGCGGTTTTCTCCGAAATTCATTTCAAAATTTTATTGTTTGTTCTAGCACACAGTGCATCTCACCCACATGCCCCTACATGACGTCATGTCTCACTGACTGCACTGTATTTCCATGCGAACTTTTATTGTTATTTACATAATGGACACATGCCAGAGTTCGAACTAAAATCTTCATTCATCTAGGTTTAAGCACCAAAATTGTACATTTTTATGCAGATTTCACGTAAAGTACGGTAAACTCAGAATTCCTCAATTGTTCCTTTCTTCAACGTAGACTCAATTAAATTGCGTCATCACTAACGGAGCAAATGTAAGATATTTTTCCTTGTATAGATTCCTTAAAAAATGTTCACATCCACTCAAATAATAACCATATGTTATCTAGATCGTCGTCTCGTGATTCCATTCTATCGAGAAGTCACTACAGTAATATTGTGAAGGCTGCGGAAAATGTTTACGAATGTATTTATAAGCCAAACATATATTATGCTTTTTAAGATTAATAAGATTTGAGGATAAAGGGTCTTATGCCCTTCAAAGTCTGCCTTAAAATTAAGATACTGATTAAATATCTAGAATACACAATCTATGTAGAACCAACACATAATTTTAAACATCATGACCATTTATTGGGACGGAATCTTGCTTTTAATTTTGAGTGCGATAATAGACATGAAAACTCAAACATCATTCAAGTTTAGCAGTGAATCATAAATTTACATTGTTTTATAGTTTTTAAAATATTTAAAGTTACTTCCACAAAGACATCTGTTCTATGACATTAAAATACCTCTCAGAATGAGGGATTTTACAAGTTTGTCAACAGTTTTTAGTGATTTACATCATCTTGTTGCTATATGAAACTAGAAAACCTTGCCACAAACATATTTAAAAAGGATGATTTAATCTTATTAGTTTCAAACCATCTATTAATTATTTACTAATTGAACCATCGTTGGTTGTTTCAGAACATATCACTGTATATATATAGTATATTTTAAAGCAAAAATTTTGATTTGGTTTATGTTTATTTATCTGGTCTATAGAATTCCTGTGTACTTTGGATTGTGTAACAGGTAGCTTGACTCTAAACTTTTATGTAGAACCAAAGTTAATTTAGACAAGAAAAGTATAAATAATTTGATGTGAAATCTATTGTTAATAATTGACAGAAAAATCCAGTGCGCCACAAAACGCAAACAGTTGTGTAAAACAATTTATCTATAAAAAGGACCAAACTTTGCGTAATTCCGCATCTACATCGGTCTACGGTCAAGGCTTCATTGGGAATGGCATGAAGCTGTGAAAATTAAAGTGAATAAAATTCTCATGACTACAGAGGCATGTGTTGTTCGACATATGTATGTTTATGACGTTAAACACTGGAGGTAAACGAAAAAAATGTTATTTTGCCATGGTAATTGAGATTTATATATACTCCAGCGACTATAGCACATGGATACTTCTGAAAGTTATTGATAGAACGTGAAATTTCAGAAAAAATGACTGACTTCACTCGATGAGAAACAAATCCAGTTTTTTTGTCGTCTTAGTTTTCGACATAGACATATTATGAACTGTCTATATTAAGGATCCTCCTTGGAGACCATTTAAAGTTTGGTAAATAACAAGGTAATAGAAACTGAGAACTACTGTCCTGGGAAAGCTACGGTTTCAACTATCTACAAGCTAATGAAATCCGCGTAATACATTTATAGATCCTACATAAAAAATCACACGCCGGTGGTGCGTTCTATTCCACACTACATATCTTGTAGCCCGAGAGAGTAGGATGAGCGGAAACACTTGCAATTCTAGAATGATTTCGTCAAAAATTAGCTCATAAAACCCTATTATCTATTCAATGTAATCTGGGAGGAAACACATTTCAATGAATTGAAGTAACTCATTTTTCTTTATCATATGTGCATGACATTCAGTTTTTCGAGAAATATCCAATAGTTTTGGCCAATGTTAGTTGTTTATCTAGTATTGTTCAAAACCATGTTGGTAAATGATCATGTTTAGAAGAATTCTAGCTTTGATTATTATTACTTAATTTCGTGACTAGTCTGCTTTTTGTGTCTAGTTTGTAAAGTTTTCAAAATGCCAAGAGAACTTACTAAGGCAAAAACACTACCATAACAAAAACTCTGTAGATACAGTAACTACTGTTTGAATGACATTGTAGTATGTTATGTCTAAGGTTTATCAAAATTTTTAACTATAGATCTTTGGGCTAAGCCAATATTTTTAGACTTCACTAGGTATTCAATCATAGTATAAGGTTGGTTAGGTGTGACACAAAACTGAACTGTATGAATAACTCGAGGGCAAAATAACCACAGCTTACGCATTAAACTAGTTTAATAAGCTAACTTTCATTTACTGAGATTTTCTGTCATCCGAACCCGCAGTGTTTCTAAGACTTATTTTTTTAGTGCATTAACTATTTTCATGAAGATAGCATAGATACAAGCTGAGTGAAGAAACATTCCTTTCTCAATTAGTTCTTTATCATGGCCCTACGCTAATCTATTAGTTTTATGATTACGAATAAAATCAATGTGTAGTAGATGATCTTAATTTAAATACCTTACTTTGCTTACTGTCATATTACTCTTGTATTTCTAAAAATTAGATATTTATCCCTCTTAAAAACAATGAGTGAATTTTTGGACTTTTATTAATGACCACGTCTTACCAATAAAACTTGTTTAACTGGAAATTACGAGATACATTGCTTAAAAACTTTCGAGATGTTGCTTTAATATTTTCACGAGACATGAATTTTTCATTGATTACTATCTGCTCAACAGTTAATTATTAGCAAACAACTGATTATGAACCAAATATAGTGATTCATATGTATTGGTAATTTGAACATTTCCATTGACGTTTAGGACTGCAATTGATTAGTATCTTTTAGAAATTGTCATCATTGATCCTTATTAGATTTTTTTAATCAGAGCAGTTTTATTTATCTTTTCACTTTTATTTACTACTTACATCTATCACTTCAATTGGTCGAATAAAAGAGATGAAATTAATTTAAATTAAGCTACAAGACGTTTCCAAACTTTAAAATAAGTAAAAGCTTTTTCATAATTTTAAGTTCTTAGTTTTCACATTTTCCACCAATAAGGTCAGCCTATTCCAAGTAAAACTACAGATCAGACTTTCATAAAAAACTCAAGGGTTATAGCGGTCACTTTGGTCTGAGATCAAATACATCAAAATGGATATCTTATATCGCTAGATATCGAGAATCTCTCCTAACCACTTGCGAACCAAATGCTAGATAGCAGAATAGAGAGTGAACATCCAAATCTCTGTATCCACTGATAATAATTTACCTAGGAGGCATCTAGTTTAAGTGTTTCGTAAGTTATACTGATCTTATTGGTTGCTTAGCTCCTGTTAGAATGTTTCAAATCTACATTTGGTTAAAATAATTATGACCAGTTACATATGAAGTAATTGCTGACAATAACATTTATGAGAAAGTAAGGTGAGGGATAGCTAAAACGGTGTAAGTTCTTAAGTTGTGAAATTGTGGAAAATAATTTTGGAAGAAGAAAAAGAACGTCAACTGTTTGTCAGTTTATTTGTGGCAAGATGTATATTGCCCCCAAACCTCAGGTCGATTGGCAAGATATTCAAGCAGTTGTAAAACAAGAAGTGTCCTTAAACATTCTCCTAAAAAGGCATAAAAATGGCTTTTAAAAGTTTTTCCCAGTTTTTGAATTGCAAGTCGAGGTAATTAGATCAAGAATTTATCTCTTAGAGATAATATCTAGGACGAAAATTATGTATGAAAGTGTCCGATAGATTGTTGTCTGAAAATAAAAACACATTTTAAGTTCAACTTGATCGACCATTATAAAGTCTTCAAGAAATCAATATGGACTCAATACACCTAATTTCTAGCAACTATGTGTTTTACTTCATTGACCAAACAACGTTTTGTCAAAAAGTTATCCTGAATTGTTCTAAAACGTTCATTAAGACAGAACATTTGTAAAATGATAATAATATAATAATAACTTCAGCTTATTTGTTCCTGACGTGTGAAACACTTTTATTATCAGAACTTTTTTTTACAACGGTAACATCAATAAAGACAATATTTCGTTACTATCGAGGTCGTCAGTGAATAGAATAATTACTACAATAGCATAATTTCGTGTAAAAGATGGCGATTTATTGTAAGACTCGTAAATAATGTCGCATTCAGGCAAAACAATAGCATATCTTACTGGCTTTAAATTATGCTGTTTAGGAAAAATATTCTTCCAATCTTATCAAAGTATTACAAGCATAATCATATAATTAATAATATACAGGCTTAAAAATGTATTTACTGAAACATGTACTGTTCTGATTTGTGTTATCATTATTATTCTACTTTTACAAAATTAACATTAATCTTGTGTAGTACTCTTCATTAAAATATTTATCCTTTGGTTAGCTATAGTCTATGTTTAGGTCTTTTTCCAAAATGCTACCTCAAACCTAGTTGCTAAAAAGCGTTGATTTTAAAGGAGAGAACGTGCGCGAAAAAAACTTCAAGTTTTTTTTCAATGAAAACAATCAAAAATAATTAATATATGAGGAGTTTCTTTGTAATTACAACAAAAACGAAGTATTAATGTATCTTCAAAACAAAAAAAATGAATGAAATACCTTATGAAGTTGAGTGAATGTTTCTTGATTCAAACACGTTATTCGTTACAAAAATTATTCACATAATACACTAACTTGATAACTATTTACATTCTATTTTCAGTTGGTCAGTTATTTATTGTAACTGAAAATACTTAAAATACAGTAATCTTAATTTTTTTTAAATAGGATATTTATTAACAATTGATTTTTCTAATTTTTTTTCCATAGCCCTACGAATTGAAGACCTTATACTTAGAGGAATGAATAGGGAGAAAGTTCGCCTGAGTGCTAATGAACAATTGGCTGAAAGTATGGATCGTATTAGTAGCCTAATTAATAAAAACTCACAATATGGTAAGTCGATAAATGACGTAATTAGCCCTTCAATGATTATGGTATTAAAATATCCAAACCAAACTTGTTTGATTTGACAATATAATTTAAACGATGGTCTGGTGTTGTTTTTGGTGTACCAGAGAGATCTCATTGTCGAGAAAATAAATCTTATTTCAAAGTCATAGGTTAATACGTGCGTTAGTATATTTTTTATAGTTTGGATTGATATGATATGATGCACAATTATTCAGCTAGACGTTTCCATAATCATGTCAAAAGAGAAACGCATCCCAAACATCCAGGCATTGTTGCTCAGTGCTACCAAAACTCTGAAAAGAGATCGACTCCTGAAAATTCAGTCGACAAGAACGTTATTTCTAGCAGTAGGTCTATGTTGAAATTAAACAGAAATGCAGATAGTGGACAGCCTTGACGGACACCACTTGAGGTTGCAAAATCAGATGACAGTTCTCTACTGTTTGTATATGTTTCAATGCAACATCTTGGTCAGCTTCGTTTTCATAACTACCTAAGTGTGACCTCACTTGTTCCTGGAATCTACTTTTAGTTTTCTCGTCACCGAGTTCAACTCTAATGGGTCTTCTTAACGTGGTTTTCCTGCGTCCAGTGAGGTGCAAGCAAACGCGTGCTCGTAATAGAGCAGGCATTCCAGAACGTGCGACAGTCTTCTATCGAGCCTCTCCAACGATGACTAACGGCAATATGGTCTATTTGAGTCCATCATTGGTTTGATGTAGGCGGTCGCCATGTTAGACGATGTCTCTCTTTATGCTTAAAATTAATGCTTGCTAAAAATAAACGATTGTTTGAACACAGTTGCAATAGACGGTCACCATGATCTGTTCGATGAGCCGGAATATTAAAATATCCACCTAAATATCTTTCTGTTTGGTTTAAGCTACCTACCTGGGCTTTAATGTCACCTGCTACGAGTACTATGTCTGTGCGTTCAACTTTTTGAAGTTCAGAAAGCTTTCAATAAAAGTCATCTTTCACTTCATCTGGACTGCAGTCAGTGGGAGCGTAGGCAGAGACGACGAAAAGGCAACGATGTGTGTCCCTATTCTTTCGAGTTCTTATGGAGCCGTTTAGCCAAACGACTGTTAACGGGGATCCACTCTAATAGCGCTTGTTCTGCTCTCGCAATTAATGCTATGCCTACACTCGCCAGTCCGCGAGAACTAACCATCAGGTCGCGAAATAAACAGAGGGTGTATCTCGTCGGCTCTCCGTTTTGGCGAGGTGAGGTCAAGTGAATGACTATACTAGGATCCTGTATGCATATTTCAGTGACACTGCATACATCAATGGTACAAGATTCCAGGGTTTTAGCCAGGAAGTCCTGCTGGCCGATTTGACATAGAGTGCGTACGTTAAAGTCTCCAATGTGTAGTTTGGAGAGAGGTTTCAGTAGACCTGGGACAGTGTTTCGCGCACCAGGATCGTTGGCTGTGGTAACACTTGAGGATAAATTTGATAGAAGAAGTTTAGAGTTGAAAGTCAAGATAGGAGGAATAATAGGAATTAAAGAGGGTGATTGATTATGAATACAGTGATCTTGAGTGCTGTTAGAGGTATGAGGACGGTTTTTAATTTCTGGTTGACCTCACCGTGGAAAGGTTCTTCTGTAGGTACCTGAAAAGGAAATTGGGTTAGGGGGTTGTCTTAGTGACCTGAGATCTTGACCGCAGTGCCCAAGGGGCAACTGTTTGAGGTCGGTCACACACGGCCTTTTTGTGAGTAGTTTTCGTGTTAGCTCCATACTTGCCGAGAACTTACCGCTGGAGACAGAAATCCATAGGATAAGGTGAGGTGTTTATTTTAAGGGTTGACCTATTCTAACCCCACCCTTCCTTATGTGAAAGCAGCATTGCTGTTATGTTAGTTTTCTGAAGGAAACACCTTACTGCTGTCACACCTCTGTACAGTCAGCAGTACGAATTCTACCTCAGACATTGGGTTTGCTGCTTTTAGTCCTACCGTTCTTCAACCGACCTGTCTGGCATGGTAGGACCTTGAGGAACGATTGTTCCAGCCAGTGTAGCTCGACTGGTTTATTACAATAGGCAAGCCCGACCACCATGTCAAGGTAGCAGCAACGGTCTGGCCGAATAGGAGTACTTAGTATTTTTGAAAGTCCTTATCGCGTGCAGTTATACAAGCTATTTTATCCGTTACTTAGATATAATGCGCTCTAGATATCCTTAAGCCCATTTTTCTGCTTATTGTTGAGCATTTCTATAGTTCCCTTTCCTCTGGTTCAGTGATTATTATTCTATAGAAATTATAATCTATGAACTACATTTCTTAGTCCAGTACAAAGCTTGTTTGCATAAGATAGACTTTTCTAGTTTCTGTAATCACTCTAGAGTCTAAACTGTTTTCTGCTAGGTATATATTTATTGAATATCATGTCACCCCAGTGTTTATGATATTACATTCACTGGAATCGACTATATACCTTAGTATCTATCGTTGCAGGTGAGATTTAGTCTAATGAGTATATTTCGTTAAATGTAATCTTACTTTTTGACCTTATTATAAAGAATTCTGATGGTACAGTTTCACACGATTATCTAAAACCAGATATGCACATACAAAATTCTAAAATCATATTTATACTCTTCAGCAATGGTATCTCCTAATTTATGCAAATAAAGATAAACAGAAAAGACGTTTAATGTAATAATTTATATTTTCTGAATGGTCAAGTCCGTCCAGTTCCAGTTTAGGCTGGCCACTTAGTTTGTAAGTATTCTTCTAAGTATTGAGTTAATATTCTCACTAGCGAAATCTCTCTTCTGCATTTGAAGGACAAAGAACCTAAACTACAGTCAGCATAACGAACAAAGTATTGGTTAATTATAAAATCGGAATCGACATGATATATATATATATATATATATATATATATATATATATATATATATATATATACTTATGGATCTGATCTACCAATTATTCTTGTAGTTAAATATGCGGGGAAGTTAGTCGCGGAGCTAGTTAACGGTCTTGATGGTCTAGACTATTCAATATAACCTTGAGACTGAGAATGTGTGGGCTCGATTTGTGACTTATTAGCCTTGAGGACAGAGAATCATACTATTCATTGACTACTGCTCTGCTACGCGGACAGTGACTGTTTAGCAAGACTGGATAAAAAATGACTGGCAGGAACATCAATATTCAAATTCTTTTTTAACATAAGAATACACGAATAAATAAATAAACAACGGGACCAGAACTCACTATAAATGAGAAAATACAATATGTGTCAAATTAAGGTATTTGTGGTATAAAAATAGACACAGGACGCGTATTTAAATTACAATAAATTTGGAATAGAAGATATGACTATAGTTTATAGATTAAATGAAAGCTTATAATTAAGGGAGTAAGGGAGTTACATAAACTGAATGTTAATAGTTATAGTTTAATAATTAACCATACAAATGTCCCAAAAAGTAGTTTTCATAGTTTGTCATTTGTTCCTAATAAGCTACACGGTAAAATTTATAAATTTGTTTCAAATGAAGTCTTCGTGCTGACCATAGTGTCGCATCTATGTTAAAAAATATGTTAGTCACTTCTTTACATAAGTAACTGTAGAGTAGATGAAATGATCTTAGATTACATTGTTCATTAGTTAATCAACTCAAGCAAGTGAAACTGAATAAGATGAATTTCTTTCTTTCGTGGAGTTTTCGTTAGCTCCTTATAATCTAGAAACACCAATAACAATCATACTAATAAAGATTAGTATAATGACGACAATAGTTATGAAGGAATTATAAATATGGTGAAACAAGAAGTAAGTGAATCGAATTCGCTAATGTCGGAAGAAAGCCAGCATCAAAGTTGATGAAATAATTAGCATGATTTATTATTGACAAAATGTTGCACCGAAAACGACGTATTTATTCGCTAAACTAATTTTGTTGTGTTGCTCATTAAAATAGGAAAAGTAGACAAATTCGCACCCCATATTACCTCCACTTGTATTTATCAGTTTAGATGTTCATGCCAAAACATTTTTATTGGAGGAACAGAAAGGAGGCTTATTGTTTGTATCTCGAAACACATCCCACAAAGGTTGAAAAAAACCAACGTATTTTCAACAGTATTATTGTTCACCATCTGCTCGATAATGGAAACAAGTTTGGTACTTTAAAATCGTTTAAAATAACCAATATTCAAACATATTTAAGTTTACTACGTTCCGTTAATGCCATCGCTGTTAAAAATCTGAAGTTGAACCTATGTATTCAAAAGAAAATAGCTACTTAATCTCTAACAACCGTGGTAACTTCTCGTTTTCAACATTCAACTGCCCAACACTTTTATCCTATGAAAATTCCCTTCTTTTAATCATGAGCTATTTTTTTGATCTTTACTTATGTTACTCTATTAATATAATCAATTTTATGGCTACTATAATGTAACTTCGACATTAGTTTTTTTCTCTAGAAACATCTCTGTCTGGAATTTTCGCATCTGATAACATACAAATATTCATTTACTTTACTAATTTATAATTCTTTCATACTTACTATGATTAATCTACGTTAATATGTTATAAATGATGTACATTAGCTGTAAAAAAGTTGTTACTATTGTTTTTAGGTTGTAAGCAGTTGAACGGAAACCACAAAATAAATAAATTCATCTTATTCTGTTACGTTTTTTATTCTTGTTCTAACCAAATTTATAAGGATAATTATAGGGAATCAATTTTTTTACTTTGTATTAGCCGTTTAAATTATCGTCATTGTCATCATCATTGAATATTGACAGTAAAAACTATACTGATTCATAATCAAATGTGATACACATGACGATGTCTCGATTCGAATCAATAACAAGATCTTTTTTTGATTGACAACTATCTTGTGATCAACATGGAAACATGACATTTATTTTTCCAGAGTTGATCAGTATCAAATTCCTAGTCACTGGTAAATGATATGATTATGACAAAATTTGAATTTCTATTCATTATCTCAGTAGGAATAATAGTTGAGAGTTTACCGGTTTTTTTCTTGTGAATAAAACATGAACTCAATAAATCACTAGTTGAATGAATACCAGTACATACAAAAAATCTTGTTTTCTTTGTTATCTGTGTAGAAAATTCAAGCACATGTTTTTCAGTTGTAAGACACACATTTACATTGTCAGGTAAGACATAGACTTGGTAATATTTTTTTATTGAAATCACCAACCAATCTAAGTTAAACAACCATTAAAAACTTGGAAGCATTCAACGGCTGTTTAGGCGTAGCATATGACTCGCCAGCAGTGCACAACCATAACACCACAACCAGGAATCGAATTCAAAGCCATTGGTCTCGCACGTGAACGCCTAACCTGTAGACCACTGAGCAAATATTCAATGGTTTACAAGTCTATCTTTGATTAATTGTTAACACATTATTTGTACATTATCAATCTTACTCTTTCAAACGGTAGGAAATAATTATTCATGTGTATTCGTTTGAATCAGTTATACTTCTATCTGACTTTTTTGGTTTACATTAAGACCATTCGCGAAATAAATAGTGTCTCTTTGTTGGCAGCCAGAAAATATGCTTTAATGACAATATACGGACGTAAAATAATTTCCGATGTGCAATTACATTTTACATAACGATATTATCTTGAAATCTATGCCGCTAATTTTGTTAACAATACAGTAAGAAACAAATATCTGAATGGTGATCAATGGAAAGATAAATACTAAAGAACCACTATACGTAGAGCTTAAAATTCTCAATTGAAATTTAAACTTGTAATCATCATGATAATTGAAATCAATTTAAGTTCACTTTTCATGAAAGTGTTTACCAATAATAGAATCTATTCTAAGTTATAAACATCAATGGTCATTTAACTGTACTGGATTTCTAATGATCTTTAGGAATAAGCCATAACAGAACAGTTTTTTTTTCGATCAATCCTAGACAACATAGAAGGGATACAAATATGCAGTTATATATATATATATATATATATATATATATATATATATATATATAATGATTGGAATAAAACTTTGTTTTTAGGCTCACCAGGTGAGGCACTTAAGAAATGTGCAATGGCTCAAATGGAAATTGGACAATCTGAAAGAAAATTGCAAGAAACTGTCACTTCAGAATACATTAAATGGTTACGCTGTTACATAGCATCTGAAGCCAAATTAGCAAAAGTAACTTTTTTTTAAATATTGTGTTAATTTTTTCTGATTATCAATATTTTGAAGAGTAAGTCAACTTTTTATTTTTTGCTGCTTTCTCTTACTTTTTTCTACATTATAAATTCATGTTCAAACAAGTACATTTCTTATAATTGGCATTAATATCAAGTTGTTTCTTTAATGCACTTACCTGTATAAACATGCTTTCTGTTTTAAAATATAACACTCATTTCACTCTATTTGTGTATATTTAATTGAATGACTAACATGTAATGTTTGGTTGCATAATAATTTATGTTCCTATTTGTAAAAAGCATTCGTTGAATTTCAGCAAAACTATTGAATAATATTCTACTCTCTACTCACAAATAATATTTGACGTGTTCGTATTTTCTCTTAAGTTGAAAGCCGAAAAGTAGTTAAAATAGAACGCTGAACACAATTAGTTAATAACAACCTAACATTTAACATTGTATTATCATAAGGAGTTTGTGAAGATTGTTGAATTTCTAAGTTTATCGAACAGATCGATCTTAACTGGACAATCCTTGAAAATCAGGAAGCACTGGACCCATGGTAGAATCGGAGATACTCTCCAGTGTTTTTATAGTCTTCGATGTTCAGCTAAGAACAGTTCGTCAAATAGGTCGTCTTTAAGAAAAGTATTGAACTTTGACTTAAACAGTAAACGATAGTCATATGTTTAATTGATAACTGTCCTGATATTCCTAGTTTCATTTTGTAGTTTTTTGAACTCTGATTATTGAACTTGATTATTTCCGTTAATACATGAATATGATTAAGATTTTTAATAGTCAATTAAGTATAATAACGTTTCAACATGTTTATTAATAAGTACTTTGTACATTATGTCAATGCATTAGGCATACTAGATATTGCAGCATCTATATTAATTTATTCATATGATTTCTACTGCTGAGCTTATTACTCAAACATTTAGATGCCAAGTGTGTATTAGCTACTATAAAACTTACCGAGCTAAATAATGCTATGAATTTATAATTTTGGTAACGCAACTGAGTATACAGATGTTAATTTGAGTCATTTAAGTGTCTATAATTTCGGTAATATTTTCACGTTATTTGATATGATGACATCTTCATTAATAATGGATCAGAAGGTGATCTCTCTAAAATCTCATGTACTAAAATTAAAAAGTATTGATGAATGACCGTTAATATTCAGAATAGCCTAATTAAATAAACACGATAGTACGTAGCTTACTTCTCTTTCGACAAATTTTAGAACTGTCATCGAGCTTTGGTTCAAAATGAAAAGCAATTTTGATAATACTGATGACAATCATGTTCTCATTAGTTATTAGTTTCAAGATGCAACTCCTGGAGTTCTAGTGAGAGACCGTGACCAATGAAGTTCAGTCCGTATCGGCTACGAAACGGATATCCACCTTAGGCAATGGATGAAGCTTTGCGTAAAGTCATAGATTGATTGAAGGTAGGTATTAACACTGTCGAACGTTGGCTCAGTAGTCTGGAAGTTAGGTGTTCGTGTGCGAGGCCGAAGGTCCTGGGTTTGAGTTCTGCGTGTGGGATCGTGTATACGCAATACCGAGGAGTCCTGTACTAGGATGAAACGGCCATCCAGTGCTTCCAGGTTTCCAGTGGTTGTCTAGCTTAGACCGACTTGTGGTTTCAACTGAAAATTCTGAATTTGATTCACTTCATTCCTAATAATCACAAGTTTTAGTACTTCATGTACTATATCAGTTGGTGTACCTCTAAAGATTCATTTTCTGGAGAGTTCATATTGCATATACACTCGTTATTTTTATCAATAAATTTTGTGATTAGATTTGTTAAGGGCAAATACACTATGTATGTCCAAATTGTCATTGGTTCTTTTATTAAACAAAAATTAAAGGCAATTCAGGAAATAAATGTTTTTTTTCAACCATATCGTGTGCGCAGGCTATGCAATCGTATTTATAATTAATTAATAAATAGTCTTTTAAAAATCGACAGAGGATTACATAGTTTCAGGCGTCAAAAGAAAATTGTATAACGACAGACAATTTAAAGAATGGTATTAAGATGAATCCAAATTTGTGGAAGATAACTTTCCACTTGTCAAATATGAGAAAGGTGATGAATAAATTTGATAGAACGTGAAGGTGATAATAGCTCTTCAAAATTTTTGCAGTAGTATTCCCCTTAAACTCAATGTTCATGGAACAAACACCTTTATAAACTGTTACAAGTTTATAGATTGTAATTTTGGTTTCATGTTTTTTTCGATGGATCTAGATGGATAGCCGTATGTTTTCGAAACATATTTGCCCAGCTTTTAAGGATAAACATTGAAATAAATTTCTCTTCCTTTTTAACGGAACCCAGCTATGAAAATTCATATATTGGCCATTTCAGGTTGCACTATTCTATCTGACTTTCTTAATAAGAAATCAAAGAAGTGAAATTCTAGATTCATCTAAGCCCAATGTAAATTTAATTGATTAATGACAACTATTTTACTTGTCCAAGATGACAAATAGGTCATCATTTTCATCACAAATGAGCCAAGTGTCATCTATATATCTTTTATGTAGATGAAAGCCGTTCGTATTTGGTCGAAGTCCAGTATGCTCACCGGTGACCATAAAAAATACGCTAGAAGAAGGCCAAGTGGTAACTCCATACTTTTCCTCTTTCGCTTTAAAGAGTTCTTTTTTTTTCAATGCTTTGTTCCTGTATATGACTGGATTTGATTTTTTTGGTGGATATTTGCAGCAAGAACGAGACAAATTGGAAAATGCTCGATTGGATTTAGATCGTATTAAAACATCAAAGAAACGTGCAAAAAGTAACAAACAACATGTAAGGCTTGTGTCTTGCTTTAAATGTTTTGTGTTGTAAATTTAATTTATCCTCTAGTGTACCATTTTTTAAACGATTAGTTCTACAAGCTTATTTCGCTCATCTAACTAAATTGAATAATCAAGAATTTAAGTAAACAAGGATTCGTATTAAGTTAGATGTAGTACTGGGGAAAATGTTCAGAAGAATATAATGTTTACAATGATTTTTATTGGTCAAGTTTTGTGATGTTGAGGTGAACATGAAATGAGATAGGGAAATCAAACTGTTTTACTAAAATATGCAAACCATACATTATATGCATTATTTGCACACCTTCCTTCAGTTATCCTTTACGTGCTTCATGATTCTTTCAATTCTGTTGTTATTACAATTGTACTTTGTTTTCCTTTATGTTCTCTTCAATTCAATCTTGTGTCGACAGGTATTTCACTTCCGATTGATGCTACATACTAATTATATCTGTCAACACAAGTAGCGTACACGACAATATGACTATTATCTGTTCGTAGCGACGAATGTTTGGTAAAGTGTACTTAACATTGCTGGGGTTTATAGAAATTATTGAACTAATGTTTTATACTAATGCTACTTGTGTGCTTACTATTGAGTAACTTTGAGAAGCGATTCCGGGAGTTCTAGTGAGATGCTTTGTCTAGTGGAGCTCGACCTTGTCGTGTATAAGATATTTATTCATCTCAAGCAACGAAAGGTGGTAGCAAGATGTCGTGAATTGATCAAAGTTATACACGTACACCATTGGATACAGGCTCAGTTTTCCATAGGTTAAGCGATCGCCGTGAAATCCGAAGGTCCTAGGTTTGATCCCCTGTAGTAGGGGCATAGGTGAGCTTCACTGTGGAATCCCATACTGAAACGAAACAGCTTGCCAGTGTTGCCTGATTTCAATAGTTGTTTAGCTAGGATCAGCTTATGATGTAAACTTTGAAAACGTACGTACATATAAAATGATCAGTGGTCTTGAGTGCTTTTGGGAGTTGGACGTAATCCTATCTGACTAGCCACAATCACTGATTGTCCCAATATATAAGAAAGGGTCAAAATCATCCTTTGACAACCGTAGAGGGATTAGTTTGAATAACATAGTACCTAAAATACTAGCATCAATAACTATAGGACGCTTAACTAAGAATCGTGAACTTCAAACACGAGGAAATCAGGCTGGCTTCAGACCTGGTCGTGGCTGCATCGACCACATATTCACCATTCGTCAGGTTCTGGAACACAAGGATGCTTATTGGCGTCCGACAATGGTGGTCTTTCTTGACTTACAGGCAGCATTTGACTTGGTAGACCGTGAGGTTCTTTGACGGTGTCTGTCGTTGAAAGGCATACCCCAGAAGTACATAAACCTGATGAGGTCTCTTTACCCGAACACTACTAGTCGAGTCAGGGCTTATGGCAAACTGTCATCTGCTTTTACAACATCAAGTAGTGTCCATCAAGGCTGTCCACTTTCTCCACTTTTGTTTAACTTCATCATAGACCTACTGATGGAAATAACTCTCTGATCGACTGAATTTTCGAGCACTGATGTCCCATCAGGAGGTCCACTTATCGACTTGGAATACTCAGATGATATAGTCCTGTTTGGTCAAGACGCTGATGAAATACAGAGTATTTTGGTTGCACTAAGCAACAATGCGTTTCTCCCCCTCTAAATAAAAATTGTTGCTTCAAGACTGGCCTGCGTCAACACCTGAACTAAGGATAGGGAGTGAAGTAGTCGAACGCGTTGACAACTTCACTTATCTTGGAAGTCTGTACAGTCCCAATGGGTTGGTGTCTGACGAAATCTCAGCACGGATTCGAAAGGCTCGTTTGGCTTTTGCCAACTTACGTCACCTGTGGCGAAGGCGAGATATCCGTTTATAAATTAAAGGACAAGTATGTTGTGCAGCAGTTCGTTCTGTTCTATTTTACGGCTTTGGAACGTGGCCATTAAGAGTAGGAGATACTCGTAAGTTATAAGTATTTGATCACAGATGTTTTAGAAGTATTACCAGCATCTGCTGGGATCACCGGGTAAGTGATAGTGAGTTTAAACGCAGAGTATTAGGGAATGATGGTATGTCAGTTGATGGGGTTGTAAATCGTTATCGACTGAAATGGTTGGGCCACGTGTTACGTATGCCTGGACATCGATCACCACGACGCGCAATGCTGACTAGTTTTGCAGACGGTTGGAAGTTAGGGACGGCCAAACCAAGACGTGGCATCCGTCCTTGAAGTCACTAACTTCTGGTCTGAGTCATGTCGGTAGATACAGACAACTTGGTTGTTGTCCGTGCACCTATCGTAACCAATGGTTGGAGACTCGGGTGACATTGCTCAGAATCGATCACAATGGCGTAGGTGTATACACTGTTTGTCTTCCCTCAAACCGTGAGGTTAAAATTACATTATACCTTTTTTTCTACGAATTAATTCTTCTTGTACTATATCCTTATACACAATCTTTCTTTTATATATTACTACCATTGAAATAACTACTATGAATTTGGTATTCATCTTGTTGTGCTAATGAGGTATGGCAACTTGGACCGATGTACAGATTTGCCTGGTCCTACATTGTAGCTGACTGACTGATAAATGGCTATATTTTTCATCATTTTTTTCTGATACATTTAAATTACCAGTTCAAATAAATATTTTGAATTTTTTAGGGTAAATAGGAAAGGTTACCATTGATCATAATTTTCTTTGATTACGAATCAATTAAAAGACAGCCACTATTTTCACTTAACGAATTTAGTGGTTGTCATAGGTTCTAATTTCAATAAATTTCACAGCAATATACTACCAATTATTGCTGTTACAATTCAAAACATCTTAAGAGCTGATCATCAATTAGTTTACTTCGTTATACATAAAATTACTGTCAGTTAATCGTGAGAAAATAGATACATGTTTAAAGTTTCAATTCTTAGATTTATTGACAATAAAACCATTCATACATCCTTAATAATCGGCTTTACGGTTAAGTATCCTGTTTTAGTTTCGATGTGTTCATCTGAAGAGAAGTATGTCAACTGGTTATTCAATACACTTCTAGTTATCTCATAAAGAAGTGTTCAGAAAGTTTAACAAATCTTTAACTGCATAGCTTATGTGACTGACTGTTCTTAATCGAACAACCATTAAAAACCAGAATGTACTGAATAGCTGTTTCATCCTAGTATGAAACTCATTAGACCCAGGGCTTTTAGATAACACGATAATTACTTAACAGTTGAACCATTAGGTCGATATCCGGCACCAATCTATGATGTTAAATGTATAATTTTCCGAAATCTCCAATAACTTCTTGGATATTAGTTTTCATGCCAAATTTGTAAAATTATTTCATCTACATAAATTTACACATATGATTATACATTCTTTTCCTGCTGAAGACATTTGATCAATCGTTGAAAGATGCCGAATCAGCATTCAATTGTCAGTGTGAAACCACTCGACGTTGTTTACAAGAAAGCATAGACAAATTTGTAAGTTATATGCAGTCATTTTAAATTTTTCGATTGAGATCATGAATCAATTGATGTTAGACCACCATTGAAAACCTTGGAGCACTGGACGGCCGTTTCGTCCTATCGTGGAACTCCTCAGCAGTGCGCATCTACGATCCCGCTCGCGGGATTCGAACCCGGGGCCCTTAGTCTCGCGCGCGAACGCTTAACCTACTGGACCACTGAGCCGGTATCGAACGGTGCTAAATTGTTGGCTATTAATAATTTTGTCATTATTACCATACATGAATACAGGATTTTGAAATAGTTAAGAATTCAGCCTGCCACTGACAATTTCCGTGAGGTAAAATTGTTGAAAATCATGTCAAGAAATAAACCATAACCGTAAATAACATGTAGTTAATTTGAACAGTTGTGACTATTATTCGAAATGTATTACTTGCTACCACTGATGAAGTACCCCGCGTAACTTTCTTGCTTTCTAATAACCATGTATTATTGCATCTGTGTACTATTATCCAGTTTAATGTGTAATATTGAAATTGGAAAATTAGTTAGCCAGCCATACTTGTTTAATATATTATTCATGTAGAATTTATTAATTAGAATCTGTTGCTTAAACTTATTCGTCGAATAAATTCTAAATCAAAGTAAAAAATCTACAGCATCATAAAAAAGACAGGAATACGCTTTTTCTCCGATCCTCTGTTCTCTGAGTTGAATGGTTTGATCGAGAAGTTCTTATTGTTCTTATGAACAGCATCATCAGCATAAACTTAAGATAAGAATAAGATATTTCGGTTTCTTCATATATGACTGGCAGCTTGTCGTCGTCTTCATGAAAAACAACTAGCCGTCAAACGTTATGATGTATTTTCGCTTGTATCAATGCACATGCGAAATCGCGGGCACATATTCGACTGGGAAAGTCTCAAGATATTTGGTAGAGAAAAATAATCAAGACCACAAAAGTTTCAGCATTTTAGCTCTCAAGGTAATCAACAATCAGTAAAAACTCCGAAATCAAACCAGTTTATCAACTTATCAGAAAAAGGATGGACAATTAGGGGGTCGAGAATCAGGTTAAGGGGAGAAACAATCAAAACAAATATGCAGACAACAACAAGTTAAAGGTCAACGACGACCGGTCAGAATCAAGGTTGAGAGGACAAGCTACCAGTTCTATGGGGGAGGATTTTGACTATCTCACTTCTATCTGAAGTTTGTGCCGATGATAACATTCAGAAGAACAACGGAGGCTTCACAATTAAACTATCCAGCTCGGATAACGAAACCCCACCAAAAATCACCCATCTGAGCTATTAGTCTTTTCCACCATCCCAGAATTCATTTCAAAGCCTCTAAATTTGAATAACGAAAACCCCTGAGACATTGTTATTTTTTGAGGTAATGTTTTGAAATGAGCTTGTGTAACACATATTTATTTGTTGTTTGAGTTACATAAAGCATGATTGACGCTTTAACAAAAGTCAATTTCATCATAGAGAAAAATCCAAGTATTCTGTGTATTGAATCCAATGAAATCATTACAAATGTCTGGGTATTGGTTTTCTCTTTTTGTGACGACGGACCGCGGGTAAACTCGAGGAAGCTATAAGAGGCTCAGAAGGAGCCGAAGATATTCCAGCCAATCACCATTAGCAAGAATATTCTAGAATCCCTACGTGTAGCTTCCCGATTGGACAAGGCTAATAACCCCCTGTATGCGGATTGGAGGACTATAATGATGATTTTTGTTCTTACTAAAACTATAAGTACCTGACAATTTGTACCCATAATTGACTCTGTTTGGAATAACATTCCTTTCACTAGTCTTCTGTCTTCTCTTTGCGACTTGGAAGGGTTTGGGCGTTCGTGTGTTCAGTTGTACTCGTTATATCAAGTAAATCAACCATTTCTAGATATAACAACTGGCGACGGGTTATCATATCAAGATGTCATTTACCTTTGAACAACTTGAAGCCTTATTGGAACGTCAAGAAAAACGTTTCGAACAGTTCCAGATGCGCATGATAGAAACACTGACCCAGAAAATGAACCTGAATCAAAAAGAAGTTGCAAATGATCCCTTCAAATCTCATGTTGACCATATCATCGATTCTATCCATGAATTTAACTTCGATGCTTCAGCCGGTATTACTTTTGAAACCTGGTTCAACAAATATGAAGATTTGTTCAAGGTCGACCTCAAAAAACTTGATGACGCCGCTAAGGTCAGAATACTCTTACGAAAACTTGGAACTGTTGAACATGAACGTTACAGTAATTTTATCCTTCCAAAGAATCCAAGAGATTTTTCTTTTGATTCAACGATCGAAACTTTGTCGCAAATATTCGCTGAACAGTCATCTTTGTTTAATATTCGTTATCAATGTCTTAAGATAACAAAAGCAGTTGACGATGACTGGGTGAAGCATGCGGGGTTAGTAAACCGTGAATGTGAGCGCTTCAAACTATCAGCATTGACAGAAGATCAGTTCAAGTGTCTAGTGTTCGTGTGCAGCCTCCAATCTCCTGAAGATGCCGATATTAGAACCAGAATTTTGAGTAAAATTGAACAATGTCCAAACATGACACTACAGGAAGTAACCACAGAGTGCCAAAGATTGGTAAACTTAAAACACGACACTTCCATGGTCGAAAATAATGGCCAGTTGCCATACGTTCATGCTGTAAGTGGAAAGAAAGATACCGGCTCAAGAAAATCATCACACACAGACAATCAGCCCTCATCTCCATGTTGGTCGTGTGGAGGTTGGCACTATAAAAGGTTCTGCCCATATAGAGAACATTATTGCAGTAAATGTCACCGAAAGGGCCATAAAGAAAACAGATGCAGAAAAATAACCCATAAACGACATTCTTCGAAGCCCTATCTCAAGAAATACAGACATAATGCACTAACTAACAAAGTATTGGTATCACATAATCGAGCACGAATTTGCCGCCGACGAAAGTATGTGAATGTAGATATAAATAAAAAGCGTGCCCGCCTGCAGCTCGATACTGCTTCCGACATCACACTTATCAGTCGAAGAACCTGGAAACTTATCGGAAAACCACAGGTGCTACCGACAACCCAGTTAGCTCATAGCGCTTCTGGAGGAAAGTTGAACATTGTTGGAGAGGTTTGTTGCACAGTCTCAAAAGGAAACGCGAAGACAAAGGCAACACTATATCTCACAGAGAACCCAGGACTAGATTTGCTGGGTCTAGACCTATTAGAAACACTACAATTAACAAATAACTCCATCAACCACATATGCAGCGCCGTAAGAACCAGTAAACCAGTTGAGAAGGATCTGAAGAATGTTGTGTTAGAAAGACATAGTCAAGTGTTTACAGAAGAATTGGGGGAGTGCAAAAAGGCAAAAGCAGTACTGATTCTTAAACCGGGAGTTACCCCAGTCTTCAGACCAAAACGTCCTGTACCTTATGCAGCGTTACCTATTGTTGAGCAAGAACTAGAGCGTCTGCAAAGTAGTGGAATAATAGAACCAGTGAACTTTTCCGATTGGGCAGCACCAATAGTGATTGTCAAAAAGCCAAATGGAAGTATCCGGTTATGCGCAGATTATTCGACTGGATTAAACGAAGCACTTGAAGTTCATCAATACCCTTTGCCGGTACCAGAAGATTTATTTGCAAAACTGAATGGGGTTAAGTATTTTGCAAAATTAGACCTGTCAGAAGCTTATCTACAGATTCCAGTAGCGGAAGAATGTAGGCATTACCTGACAATAAACACTCATAAAGGATTGTTCCGATATAACAGACTTCCTTTTGGAGTAAAAACAGCCCCTTCAATCTTCCAACAAGTCATGGATACTATGTTACAAGATATTCCTGGTACTGCGGCGTATCTCGATGACATTCTGATCATGGGTACAGACTATGCTGACTTAGAGAGTAAGGTCGACACGGTGCTTAGACGCATAGCAGATTATGGGTTCAGGTTGCGTGCTGAAAAATGTGATTTTTACATGGAGCAAGTCCGTTATTTGGGATTCATAATCAATAAAAACGGGAGAAAACCTGATCCTGAAAACGTTGAAGCCATCAAGTCCATGCCCCCACCGACGGATGTATCAACTTTACGTTCTTTCTTGGGAATGGTTAGTCATTATGGCGTCTTTCTTCCAGATCTGCATCGCCTTCGTGCTCCACTTAATTGCTTGCTGAAAAAGGATACCAAATGGTTTTGGTCAACCGAATGTCAAGAAGCATTCCTAAAACTAAAGCAGCTCCTATCATCAGACCTTCTACTTACACATTATGACCCAGATCTTCCAATTATAGTCGCGGCAGATGCGTCAAATTATGGAATCGGAGCTGTAATTTCACATACCTATCCTGACGGGTCTGAGAAAGCAATCGCCCACGCAGCAAGATCGCTGACTATGACTGAAAGAAACTACAGTCAGATTGAGAAAGAAGCTCTCTCCATCATATTCGCTGTAAAAAAGTTTCACAAGATGCTGTTTGGCAGACAGTTCACTTTACTAACAGACCATAAACCGCTATTGACAGTATTCGGATCTTAAAAAGGTATCCCGGTATATACAGCAAACCGGTTACAGAGATGGGCAACTACGCTACTGGGTTATGATTTCAAGATAAAGTACCAACCAACAACCGACTTCGGACAGGCAGATGCCCTCTCAAGGTTGATTGATTCGCATGCAAAACAAGAAGAGGACGTGCTTGTAGCTGCCATAGAAGTCGAGGCTGAAGTTCACAAAGTATTAACAGACGCAGTTTCCGGACTCCCGGTAACATTCGAAGCCATTAAAGAAGCTAGCAAGAAGGATAATACATTGAAGATTGTTCACCGCTGCATACTCAACAAGTGGCCTTCATCTAGACTACGTGGCGAACTCTTACAATATTTTCGTCGACGAGATTCCCTAACAGTTGTCGACTCGTGCATCATGTTTGGCCACCGTATCGTTATCCCTAGAAGCCTTCGGCACCAAGTCATTAAGCAATTTCACTGCGGGCACCCGGGGATAAGTAAAATGAAATCACTAGCTCGCAGCTATGCATACTGGCCGACAATGGACCGTGATATAGAACAAAAATGTCGCAGTTGTTGGTCCTGTCTAGAGGCTGCGAAGAATCCAACAAAAGCTGAACCACAACCATGGCCAAAACCGGACGGGCCTTGGCAAAGAATACACGCCGATTTTGCCGGACCAATACAAGGCAGAAATTACTTAGTTGTTGTCGACGCTTTTACAAAATGGCCAGAAGTGTATGATATGCCGAAAACGACATCAGACAGTACAATAAGAAGATTGTCAGGATTGTTTGCTTGTTTTGGGGTTCCAGAGATTTTAGTGACCGATAACGGCACTCAGTTTATGTCATCAGCTTTTAAACGCTTTTGCAGTGAAAATGGCATATCGCATCTACAATCTCCTCCGTACCATCCTCAGTCGAATGGCCAAGCAGAAAGATTCGTGGATACGATAAAAAGAGCTCTGGTAAAGGGGAGAGGTGAGGGTATCCCAGAACAAGTAATCAGTAAGTTCCTAATGTCTTACAGAGTTACTCCCAATCCGGCAGTACCAGAAGGAAAGTCACCAGCCGAGTGTATGTTCGGAAGAAAAATTCGCACAGTCTTCAACAGTATGTTGCCACCTAGGAAGACAATAAAACCGATGAATGAGTATCGTACGATCACTCGTAGCTTCCAGGTGGGGGAAAGGGTACTTGTCAAAGCCTATCAAGGTAATAGGAGATGGGAACCAGGTGTCATAGAACGTCGAATCGGAAATGTACTGTACCTAGTCCGGAAGGGTGTCGGAAAATGCATAAGACACATAAATCAAATGCAAAGAGACAGCAGTACAATGGTCCCAGGAAGCCGGCTCCCATTTCAATTGCTCGTGGATTCACCTCAGAAAAGCCATCATGAGCGCAAACATAGAGGAGGAAAACGACGCAAGGGAAAAGTTGTACAACCCCCGAGAGTGATGGACCGTAAGAGGAATGCGACCATAAAGTTCCAGGTGGATCCGAGAAAGAAGTCTTACACAACGGACTTTAAAGGAGGGAGGTGTGACGACGGACCGCGGGTAAACTCGAGGAAGCTATAAGAGGCTCAGAAGGAGCCGAAGATATTCCAGCCAATCACCATTAGCAAGAATATTCTAGAATCCCTACGTGTAGCTTCCCGATTGGACAAGGCTAATAACCCCCTGTATGCGGATTGGAGGACTATAATGATGATTTTTGTTCTTACTAAAACTATAAGTACCTGACAATTTGTACCCATAATTGACTCTGTTTGGAATAACATTCCTTTCACTAGTCTTCTGTCTTCTCTTTGCGACTTGGAAGGGTTTGGGCGTTCGTGTGTTCAGTTGTACTCGTTATATCAAGTAAATCAACCATTTCTAGATATAACACTTTTCTCATTTAAATAGATGTGTTTCCTACCCTCAAAGTAGTTTTAATATTACTAGCCTACTGTATTGCATATATTTCTGAACAAAATTATTTTGCTGATTATCAGCTTTATAAAAACGTAACTATTTAGTTTATTTTTTATTTCTTTATTTATTGAAAAACAATGCTACTCACACTACTACTATTTACAATAATTAGGACTCACAAAAAGAAGAGTTGAAAAAGCTTTTAAAAGCTCAATCGGAACACTTTAGAGCTTGTTCAGATGCAGTGGATTCCGCATTACGTGCGATCTAAAAAAGTCCGGAAACTCAGGCTAATTCAAAATGAAGGTAAGGTTTTATTGCAAATTTACATTTGTATCATACACACACATACATATTTATCATTGTAAATGATGCCGTCTAAACGATTGCTTTCTCTGAAACACATTTTTTTAATACAAATAAATTGCCGGTGTTGATTTTCAGTAGTACATCGTTGTTTATTTTCTTTTTGTAAGCAAAAAATGTGTCAATGTGTATAATCGAAAACTAGATGACAACAGAACCATATTTCATAGATCACATTAATTGATTTTATGTAAATTTTAATCATCCATATGATAAAGGTTATTTATGCAATTTCATGAAAAATCATTTTAAAGTGCACCTTAATTTGGTTGTACATTTTTTTACTTTTCATTTTATTATATTTATTACTTATTATTCAAACACTTCTTACTTATACCATTTTTCTAGAAACCTTCTATATTTACTGTGTTTAAACTTCTGATATAAAATAGTTTACACATTTGTATTCATTATTATGCAACTTTTTAAGAAAAGAACTTTTGCCTAAAACATAGGGTTAGCTTGTTAGTCATAAACAATGTGAACACAAATATGGAATATCTGACGTTTCTATAATTAGCATCAGAACGAAACGAAAAATTTATCAGGACGAAAATCAAGGAGCTTGAATTATTTTTGTTTATATTATAAAAAATCAATGTGACCGAAGTAATGTATGTACCTAACAAATATGTGAGAGTCAGTAATTCGTATTTTCAGCTTGTTGAATTATAACCCAATACGTACGTCCTGGTTGACGGAGAGACTTTGTGCTGTTAGCAATTAAAATAATTTTGAAAGTTGAAACTGAACCATGGTAGGGGAAGTTATTGTAAGTACAGAACTATTTGCGCGACTATAATTTGTTGATGAACCAATCAGATTTCAGGACACAGGTCTTGGATTTTGGCTCAAAATTCATTCACTCATTTGGTTTTATACCATTGTGGTATTATAGCTGATGCCAGTTCGTGATGAAAACATTAATAGTTCAACTGTACTAATATATAACCCTCATTTAATCCTAGTAGTTAAGTGGACATTCGATTTTAGCATTGCTAAAAGGTTGTCCATAAATTATATTCAGCGAACTATAAAATAGGAGTTTCTTGTCAATAATCATAGGTCAAACGAAATCGAAATATGCGACCCAACTGATATGTACATATGCTAATTATTTTAGCTACATTTATCATTAATTTTTGAGGTTTGATCACTTTTAATCTCTTTTATTCGTGTCTTATCATTCATGTAACTCTAATATACTGAAAATCCAAACAAAACCGATATACATCGACGTACTTTGTTGAAAATGATTTGTCAAACTAGTTACACTAGTAATTCAAATACTGTCTATCTGCCTGGTTGATTTTACTTGTTCAAACAAAAACCCACTTTTTAATCCTGGTAAAAAAAGCAATAAATTATTAAAACTTTGAGGTAGATCTACATAATTAAGTCATTTATGCTACAGAACAAGGGAAGTTACACTATTATATATATAACCTTTTCTATTTAATTATAATTACAGAATGAAGACGCTGAGGGTCCTCCTTTAATAATATTATTGATAGTAATAAAACAAATGGATTTCTGATAATGTTCTTCAACATTTAAATCATTTTATCATTTCGTATTTACAAACTACTTACATTTTTACTTAAATATCTGTGATACATTTAGAATTTTTGTTTTTGAATGTCACTTTTTCATACAATTTTTTTTCTTTAACAATTACTTATGTTGTTTCATAACGTTTTCACACGTATAAAAGAAAAATAGTCAGAATAAATGTTGATTTCTTCCTCGTCTTATTGTTATATATTGTTTTGCAAGAGAAAATCATTTATTATTTTTATAGCAAATAACATCACTTGAAATTCTACTTCACTGGTGATTTCTTTCCGTGATCGAAAACCGTTTTCCAATAAAAACTGATCTGAACCATTGAGTCAATGATGCGGATGCTAATCACCTTAGAGTTACAATGCATTTAACAAAATAGGGTTAGGAATTAATACTGGGAGTCAAAATAAAGTGTGGGTTAGTTTTTCTCAAGGTCCAACATCAGCTATTATACAGCAATTCTGAAATGTGTATACCTTAGTCTTGAAGTAAACAGTAATTCACAAATTATAATAAGCAGATATACATGGCGGCTATCAATGGAATCCAGGATCCACGTTTCGTTCCATTCGGGACTCGTCAGCTGGATGTGCCTGCATCCCAGAGTTGGTGTTCACTCCGGGACTGGAACCTAGTACCATTCGCTTCAAACGGTATTGTATTTTCTACCTAGCAATTATGTCCAGGTAGATACTCGTTCGTGCCGTGGGGTGAAGTTTAATTCATTTGCATTGGTCTTTTGAATATTCCTATTGATATTTAGGACTGTTACTCATTAGTCTGCTTTTGGCTGACGCGATGGAGTTTGAAGTGGATGGTCGTAGATTAGAGTCCTGGAGTAAACATCAACTATAGGGTTCAAGTAAATCCTGTTGAAAAGTTCCAAATAGGATGGAATGAGCATACTTGATTCCATTGATTGGCACCACTCATCTCTGCTTATCATGGTAATATCGAGGCAGTCCGTATAGGATGCATATATGCTAAAAGAGATCCTTCACTCATAGTCCAAAACATTAATGGCAAGATTTAAAGAGCCAGTACAAACGAATTATTTCATAAATCATTTCTTTCTCCTGATTGACTTTATGGATTATATTCTCAAATGTACTCAGCGGTAAAAGTCAGCTTAACCAATTGTACTTCAATTAAATATACTAGTGAATATTCAAAAAGAAAACGCTTTAGTACCAACTTAATAAATAAGTCGATTTTTTAGAATTTTGTTGTGGTGAGTTATCCCTTAACACTGCTTGTTGAGTTGACTGATGTTTTTTAGCAAGTAAATGGTCATCTCATTACTTGTGCTATAAAGTGATTAATCTCAGAAATTAACAATATTTTCCAAAAAAGGATTAATCCACTACTCATTTTATTATTAACTTTTAATTTGTTTGACACATTTCAAAAATATTTCTCACGATAGGATGATAAGTTTTGATGGAAACAGTGCAAGTTTGACAAAAACCTAGTGAAGGGTTGTAAAGTGTAGAGCAAGTTGATTCCCTGAAATTTTGGTAATGGAATGTTATCTAGGTTTAGAGTGAAAGCTTAAGAATCCGGTTAATCATTTACCTATGATAAGCCCCCAATTGCCCTACTACTGCCGTTATGGGGAGAGCCAGCTCTCTCTGTCTAAATGCTCTCATATGGCTATGCGTATATAGCCACTCCTAGGGAAGTCCTACTCACTCCTGTTATATATTGGGACCGCCGAGTAGAGGGCAGTGAGTTATCGATCGGATCAAGGACGGGTAAAACATGTGCAAGCAGCCTAGAGTTCTGAGTGGTCCTACTTTCCGCCTAGCCCAGACAGTTAAGTCCAGAACGTCAATTTCAGCCTCTGCAATATGAATCATTATATTTCAAACATACGGGGTTTATATACCAATTAAACAGACGACAACGTAGCATAAAACAGAAAATAACATTCGTACAAAATTTGGCCAAATGTGGCTGTGAATGTGGGAGGCAGTGACTAATAAACAGGGCGTAATTCAAGAATGGTAAAACGTATCATAATGGTTCATAGGTCAAAATAAAGCTTATAATAAAAGGAACATGAATATGAATAGTTTAGTTATTTAACAATTATACGATAAAAATATACGTTTAGTATTAGTCCACAAATGGATCCCAAAATTACCATTCATTATTCATGTCGGGACATATCACTCCCTTCTCATCACAGGGATGTTGTTTACGAAATTAGGTGGACGGAAAGCGGATCATCGGTGCCTAAACAGGTTTGATAGGTATGGAAGATCTGTGTAGAGGAGATAAAAAATCCTGATTCAAAACCAGTGGTGCATATGAGCTTCAGAATTCTGAAAGAAAAAATAATGTATGAACCCATTTCTAGTCACTGGCTACCATGCGACTTCATCTGCTAACTTTGTTCCATTGCCTTGTGCATTAGACCTCTGGGTCAAAGGGTCGCAAAGTGACTCTAAGAAAACTAACTCCTTCGGTCTGGGAACCGAGCAGTATCCCGGCCTGCAAACAAGCTGAATAATAAATGTTTTGTGTGACTAATAAATACGTTAGCACCTTTTTGTAACGATGTTTATGTTTAAATTAATAAATAGAAAAGTGAAGGCAGGATTAGTTTAAAATCAGTTATTGTTTTTTTTTTTGGTATTGGGAATACTTTCTGAATTGTGATGCATAAACATGAAGTTATTTGGCATAAAAGCGATTCCTATAGACCGCCATTAAGAAAATAAGCAATTTAGCTATTTTTCTGAAGTCTGTCACCAACAAGCTATGACTATCGTCTATAGTTAAAATCTCATGTAGATAAGTTGACAAAACGGCTATAAACAGGAAAAATCATTTTATCTTGATTTCTTTAACGTCATAAGTTTACCTAGAATTAAAGTTTTGGCTTTTTGTTAACCATGAAATCGAATTAAAAGTTATTCAAATATTTATTGGAAAATTCCAAAAAATAATGGTCAATATTGATCGTACGAAACAAATGAAATGTAGTTAGTAGGAAAATTCAGGGTGCACGCTTTGTTTCATCGTGGATTCGTCAGTCATATGTACCTGGATTGCAGAGTTGATATTCATCCAGGGGTTCAATCCCAGTACATTTCACTTCAAATACCAATATAAAAATTGAGATAATATATCAACAGATGTAACTCACTTCCTAGATTCCACTAATAGTCACATTCCACCCACTCAATACAAGTATGTAATGGATACATGGAGGAAATTCACACAGGATGCATATATACCAACTAAGAATATTCAAAATCGCAACAATAAGATAATCCAAACCATTACAAATTATATCAGTATTGATGTATCAATAGAAAATATCCGTTATTTTCTCCTTCATAACGTTTAAGAGATTAATCATTTTTATATGGCATATTTTCTTTAACAAGAACCATTTTTAATCGTTTCACTGAATCGATCAATACTTCAACAACAATAATAATTTATGATATATAATACTATTAATTGATGTTTAGATTATGTTGATTAGAATAAATCTTAAAAACTATGGTGATGAATTTCTATCATGTGTTCAATGAATCGCTTATAATATTGACACATAATGGTAGGTGAATTCGAGAACAAGAAGAAGAATGAAATTGTTATGTGATTTAATCAATTATCAATCTTTTTTATAGATTTTTATGTTTATGTGTATCCGTAGGAAAGATGAAAGGCGTTTAAATTAAATTCATATCATTATAGATGAAGAAAAGAAATGTTTGATTGAACCGAATGTGTTAACTAGATAAATTTTTTACAAAATATTGAAATACTATGATTAACAAATAAACAAACTGAGGTACTGGGTTCGAGTTCCAGAAATGAACATCAACTCTGAGATTCTTCTACATTCAGCCGATGAGATTCAAATGGAACGAAACACGCTTCCTGGATTCCACTACTAGCCATTATCCATCTTTGCTTAGAATGAGGTTATATAAATTTAATTTCAAATTACTTAATCTACATCAGTTTTATCTTTTTCAAAATTAAAGCAATCATTTTAGTTTTATGTAAAGCATTCATCCATTCTCCGAAAATTTAAGGTCCATACCATTATAGTAAATTTTTTGCTGATTATTTACCATATCTCCGTAAGATTTTCAGAAGAGAATATCACTATTTTCTATAAAGTACTGATTTCATTGCCATTAAGAATAACTTGTAGAGGCTAATATCCTCTATATCAGACTCCAGTAAATGATATCCCGTTAACTGAGTATTTAACACCGGCTAAATCTCCTAGTAGAGTTATGAATTTACTCGAGATTATTCTAAAGCCCGAACATCAGTTATAAAGATAGTTTATTGTTAAAGATTAATAAAATCCGCAAGTGTACAGCAAGCAAGCACACAAAGAAACCAAGAGTGTGTGTGTGTCTGAGTGCTAAAACTGCATATATATTTTTGAGTGTTAATCAATTATGGAAAAATTATTGGTTGTCTGTGTATTACAACCAATAGGAGAATAGATTAAAAGTTGACATGTGCTCAATCAGACTCACACAAAAATTTACATAGCGGATTAAGTGTCTAAATTACAGTGAGTGGACGAATAATATAGTAGTGGAATGGTCTTACTACAAACTATACGTTAAAATTAAAATCTACAAATACTGTTTAATTCCTTTTCGTCATTTTAAATAAAACAATAACTGAATGCTTCAATCTGATTCTGCATTATTCTTTGAAAGTGTTGTCAGTTTATCATTGAAAGTGTAGTTCATTCTACATTTGTCTATTTTATTTGAACAGCCTAATTACGTCATCTGTATGTTTGCATTGGTTATTTGAAATCAAATTGAAATTATACACCTCATCTCATCGTTACATTTGACAGTAATTCATGTTTTATTCAGTAGATTTATGTATATCATTATTTACTATTTAAAGTTAATACATCTAAATTATCAATGATATACAACATCAATTCAAAAAAAAAAAAATTTACAAAACATGATCATATAATTTACATCTAATAGAGATCAATAAATTACAGGTTCTCAACTTGATTGTTAAATTAGATACTATTTATACTGTATACATGAAAGTGTTCCAGGCGTGATTCATTATTTAACTCATTTATTGCCAAAATGTTTGACACAATTACATACACATTAAAGAAAAAAAAATTATTATTTGTAAATTGACATGAATATTTAATCAATTAATTGTAATCGTTATATATGACCAAAAACCTAAGACTGATGTTCTAACTTTTCGTGAGCATAGGTTTCATTGTCTTCGGTGTA